TGTAACAGACGCAGTCGGGCCACCACGACCCAAGTAAGGTGTGTGAAAACGCGAGGTGCCAGATTCAAGCCAAATAGAAGGCAACAAAAGCAGAAACCTTGATGCCCCACAACAAAACTGAGCAAGTCCCTGAACCCTGGATGACTCGAGATGTGCCAATACGCATCCCAGAGGTCCAGGGACACCATCCAAGTGCCCGGCTCCAAAAGAAAATGTACCTAGGACAGTAGTCATCTGAAAGGAGGAAACCCATATTTCAGATGGGTCAAGTCCAGAATGAACTGGAGGTCCTCGCAGTCCCGTTTTGGAACAGGAAACGGGCGGGAAACTCACCGGAGGAACGAGGTCGTTTCGACCACGCCCAAGCAAACCCACTCCAAGATGACCCAATAGAGCGCAGGAGAAGAGGCCTGCCCCGCCAACCCCTAAGCCCCCGAAAGAAGAGGGGCCACTCAACGCCATTGCAGGTCGCACGAAACAACCCAAAAAGGTCCACAGATAATGGGCCTTTTGTTTGCATGGGCAAACAGCACGCTGCCACCCCCCCCCCACATTGCCCGAAAAATGGGATGAACTGCGAAAGGGCCGACGCCCCTTATGTGAACCCGGCCTCCTCACAGAGTGATCACCTCATCAGCCAGACAAAGACAGTTCTGAAGGCTGTGCATCCTCCGAAATTGGCACCACTGGCCCACCACGACAGGAGGAACCCCAAGCCCTGGTACGATTCTTCCAAGAAAGACCCTCCATCCCTAATGGGCTTCCAAGAGAACCAACAAGTCAACATGGGACGACAACTGGAAGAAGCTGCCTGCAGATACTGCACCACTCTGCAAACACCAAAGGACAAAAAGGCAAAGAAAACCTGAGTGACAGGGCCCAAGTAGATTCCAAATGGAGGTAGCCAGCACCGCCTGCTGACACGTAAGACGAGAAGCAAAAAATAGGGGACACCAAATATACCAAATACACCAAAGGGGAAAATATTGGAGGGGTGACAGGTAAGCTATCATGGATGAAAAATTTTCTGACTGATAGAAAAATGAGGGCAGTAATCAGAGGCAATGTATCAGAATGGAGAAATGTCACAAGTGGAGTACCACAGGGTTCAGTTCTTGCACCAGTGATGTTTATTGTGTACATAAATGATCTACCAGTTGGTATACAGAATTATATGAACATGTTTGCTGATGATGCTAAGATAATAGGAAGGATAAGAAATTTAGATGACTGTCATGCCCTTCAAGAAGACCTGGACAAAATAAGTATATGGAGCACCACTTGGCAAATGGAATTTAATGTTAATAAATGTCATGTTATGGAATGTGGAATAGGAGAACATAGACCCCACACAACCTATATATTATGTGAGAAATCTTTAAAGAATTCTGATAAAGAAAGAGATCTAGGAGTGGTTCTAGATAGAAAACTATCACCTGAGGACCACATAAAGAATATTGTGCAAGGAGCCTATGCTATGCTTTCTAACTTCAGAATTGCATTTAAATACATGGATGGCGATATACTAAAGAAATTGTTCATGACTTTTGTTAGGCCAAAGCTAGAATATGCAGCTGTTGTGTGGTGCCCATATCTTAAGAAGCACATCAACAAACTGGAAAAGGTGCAAAGACATGCTACTAAGTGGCTCCCAGAACTGAAGGGCAAGAGCTACGAGGAGAGGTTAGAAGCATTAAATATGCCAAAACTAGAAGACAGAAGAAAAAGAGGTGATATGATCACTACATACAAAATAGTAACAGGAATTGATAAAATCGACAGGGAAGACTTCCTGAGACCTGGAATTTCAAGAAGAGGTCATAGATTTAAACTAGCTAAACACAGATGCCGAAGAAATATAAGAAAATTCACCTTCGCAAATAGAGTGGTAGACGGTTGGAACAAGTTAAGTGAGAAGGTGGTGGAGGCCAAGACCGTCAGTAGTTTCAAAGCGTTATATGACAAAGAGTGCTGGGAAGACGGGACACCACGAGCGTAGCTCTCATCCTGTAACTACACTTAGGTAATTACACTTAGGTAATTACCACATCTCGCAGGATCGTCGTGAACAGCTTCAAAAGAGCAGACTATGCATGCACCCCCCAAGACCAATGCACCAGACCCAGGATTGGCCCCAAGCGCCTCCACGTCGTCCTCAAGCCAGTCCGAGGACAGCTCAAGAAGGAAAAAGAACCACAAGACTAGTGTCAACAGACCACAAGCGCACAAGTCCTCAGCGACCAGGGCAGCCAAGAGAGTGGAAACCTGCACGTGAAGCTGCACAATGCCGACATTCCGAGGAAGGGCAGGAGCGAACAAGCACCAATGAGGTGCTCAAATTCGCCCCCAGGTAAACCTGGACCACCGTATGAGCCTCGAGCCACTCAAGCACCAGGGACCGACAGAACGTATGCCTTGCCTCCACCGAGAAAAAAGTGCAGTCCGCAAGCCAGGACGACTCTGGAACCTCATAACAAACCCAGCAAGCAAAAGAATATCCAAACATAAAAGAAGAAGGATCCATTATAGAGGAGTAACCCGGATCGTAATCGCACAAGAGGTAAGCCACACTGGCCTCCTGCACTGCATGAGACAGGATGCAGGAGGCCTAAAACCTCTGAAAGGATGGAACTGAAGAACCCAAGGGAGCACGGAACTGAACCCGGGGTGGGACTGACGCCAAATCCAACTCGTACGAGGGAGGAAAAGAAAACCCCCCACTCCCAGTAACATCAAGCCCTGCTCAGAGGGTACAAAAACCCAAGCTGGGTCCAATAGGGCCCAAGGTCCCCAAGTCATCCCCTCCCTTGCCCCAGGAACCTCCCCATGAGGATCCAGGGCCGAGCCATCCTCCAAGTCCCCTGCCTCAAAAGAAAAGGCAGGACCAGCCGAAAAAGCAAGAACAAATGAGGTCCACTGGTCAGATCCAGAAGCTCCAATGCCTCCATCACCACACCGGAAGGGGGCATCCTCCATGAAACTGCCCGAGTCTCAACACCAACTAAACCCTGCCCCGACTCCGAAACCCTCAGACGCTTTGGAGCCGGAAGCAGGGAAAGGGAGGACCAGGACAAACAACAGAAGGGAAAGGACAAGGAGGCGCGGACTGAACCAAAGTTGAAGCGACTAACACCCCAAGTCCGGGTCTCTAAAACCAAAATGGGTTTTAGGGACTCGGGGCATCTGGGGTAGCAAACAACCTAGCATGCTGCAGCAACCTAAACCAAGCAAAAATGCCGAAGCTGCCTGCACTCGAATATCATGATCAGTGGACTGGGTGTATTGGAGAGCAAACAAGGAACAAAACTCCCCAGACTCCAGGTCTAAGGTGTCACTGACCCAACAGGCAGCATGACTGAAGCACAAACGGTGAGTTTCACCCTGAGACGAGGAAACAGAGCAACCTTCAAACTCGCACGAAGCGAGAGGGAACCCAGGGGTCGCATCCATCGGACCAAAGAGCCCCTGTAGGGTTTCCCAGGGCCCTTAGTAGCATAATCTTGCTAAGGGAAGCCCAGGCAGGTACTGCTAACCGGCGCCCAAAATTTCCAATCAAACTGCTGAAGCTGAATCCCTGGGATGTGTACACTCATGGGGCCTAGTAGAGGACCACCAAGATATAAATGGGTGTGACCAAAACCAAGGGGCACACCACCCCCAGCAGGCAGGAAAACGAAAACAAAAGAAAAAATCCACAAGAGGACAAAGTGTCCAGGCGGAACAGAGCCAGCTGCCATGAGAGGTTAAAACTAGCTGCACAGTACCCTGCGCCCCAACCAGTGACTAAACTACCCCTTACCCAGAGGCAAACAGTGGTGCATGAAACACCCCAGCTGACTCAAGGGCGGTCAATCACCAAGCAGCAAAAGACCTTGTGGAGGTCGACCCCCAAAGGTGATATGTGAAAGATGGCCCCAAGCCCCAAAAGCAGTACTTACAGGGCACCTAGGGAAGGGGACCCTAGGTGCATGCAGCCCGAGTACTCGTGAAATAACTCCTAGCTCATGCACCACCACTTAGACAGTACCACACAACAAGACACAGAACTGGAAAAACAGGAGCCAGAGGCACACAACCTTGCCATTTCACATCAGCCAAAGAACTGCAGGGTGGATAGCCGGTGCGGGGGTCTGGGGCTCCCCCTTCCCTCTCCCGGGGAGGGGGGGAACCCCAATGTGATAGTGTATAATGTGAGCCCCAGTCCTCCCCTCCCTCAACTAGTGGGAAGGTTAGGGCAAAAAAGCATACACTTAAACAAGAAAATAATTATTTATTTATATTGTTGTGGTGTTGTAACCTGCTATCTGCGCCTCTGAGGGGGAATGGGGCCAGGTTCTGGCACTGGTCCCTGGTAGGCAAAACTGAACTTCACAGCTGATGTGATTTAATAGTTGGGAGCCATCTCAGCGAGATGGCGCCATCAAGAGGATCCATTCCCAGAAAATATGACACACACTCACTTGCCCCATGACAAAACCTTAAAGAGGATTGACTAGGAATCAATCCATAACTGTTGACCCATTTACCCAGCAGTAATTGAGAACCTTGGAATAAAACCAAATCGAAGATCATGTTCCATTGAAAAACTAGCACGTAAGACTTACCATAAGCTATGTAAAGGGAAAACTCGCAGCCTGCTAACATGAGGTATCTACTCCTATACCCATCTGTGTAAAAATTCTACATTATTCTGTGGTGAATTTAGAAATTCTTGACCATGAGAATCCAACTTAGTTGTAAATTAGACGAGTGATTCTGAAAGAAACACAATGTTAACACTTACATTCTCTTCCCACCTATGAATCTGGGTTTTTTAACACTCAGTGATACACCTGTGATTCCATCGCAGGAATCTGTACACCAGTTGATTGATGGGTAAGAGGTGGGACCAAAGAGCCAAAGCTCAACTCTCACACACACAACTATGTGAGTACAACTAGGTGAGTACCTAATGAATATTTAATGTTCACTCAAATGCCTTATAAATTATATCAACTTACATCTCTCTCTTTTTCTCTGTCTCTGAAGCAGAGAGTAATTAATGAAACATGAGTTGATTTTTCTCTGTCTACAGATCTGGCTTCAATAGCTTGGGCCAAGTACTTGTTGACGCGGTTGGATGGTGCATGTGGAAGTGATGAGTGTCTCTTCTTGAATGGTCGTTTGAACTTGTCTGATAACAAACTTGACTGAAAAATAATGTACAAGTATATATAGCATTACCTCAATAATGTTTTCATAATAAGTTGCACAATCCTCAAAAGTTAATATTTTAAAAGAATATTTAAAATAACATGAATCTCCATGATATACAAGGGCTTTCATTATACAGAAAAAATACAATAAAATGCTATTTACTACTTTTAATAACCTTTTGAAATAGTGCAGAGCACCTTATTCCATTAACTATGAAAATTTATACCTAAAAAATATTTTGTTTAAATATATTACGTAACTCAAGAGAAAACCAAAATACTATAATAGCTGGTAAAAGAGAACACATGATCTACATGTGTATGAGCTGATGCTGATGTGAAGTTAAATGTAAAACAGACACGAGTATTAACTTTTTAAAAGCAACAAAATTTACACTTAGTGGCAAAAATGATACAAGCGTAAATAACCATTCTTGTGTGCCAAAGATATTCATGACTAAATATAAGTCACAGATATTGGTCTAAAGCAAAGGCAGTTGAACTAGATGCTGCATCTAAAGTATACAAGTGAAAGATACTTTACCAAACTTTTTTTTTAACATTCATATCAATAAATCAAATAAATAAATCATTGTATAAAATGATAAAAAAATGTCGGGTTGCTAGGAGAATAAAATAGTTTGGTGTTCAAGAAGAAACCAAAAAGGTCTCCTCTGAATTCCTTTTATTATTTTCTCTGAGTCTATAGGAGGGACCCATAATTGTAGATTATGCATATATACATATACCTGTACTGTACATGTATATATTATGGTACATGCTGAACCTTTTATTTTATATTTATATATATATATATATATATATATATATATATATATATATATATATATATATATATATATATATATATATATATATATATATATATATATATATATATATATATATATATATATATATATATATATATATATATATATATATATATATTTTATTTACTATTTTTACTATTTACTATTTTCTGATTTAGGGCTTCTATCCCTCTAACTATTTTCTTAGCATCAGGGCTTAGCTGAAATAGGAGTTCTCCAAAACTCATTTTCGTAATTTTAAGGTGAAGAAAAGAAGTGAATTACTATAGAATGTATTACACTTATTTATACAATTTGCACAACGTTTCGAACCTCCATGGTCCATTCTCAAGTGAAAGGAATTTACAGGTTTGGTTGATTTTATACCCACACTGGGTCAGGTGATAAGACAAAGGTGAAAACATGGGGGGATACATAAGAACATAAGAATAGAGGTAACTGCGGAAGGCCTATTGGCCCATACGAGGCAGCTGTTATCTACATGCAAAGATTAATCAAGTGATTAATCTCTGAGCGTAAAGAGTTCCGTGATTTGGGTGCTCATGGTAGGTTGTTCTATTCTTATGTGAATTGCTTCGATATATATATACATACATATACTCTTGAAACAATTCACATAAGAATAGAACAACCTACCATGAACACCCAAATCACGGAACTATTTACGCTACCCACCATGAGAGCAAGGACAAAACCAGAACATAACGATGACAATACAGAAGACACTGTTCAACATAACAGGCCAATTACACCTGATTAATCTTTGTATGTAGATAGGAGCTGCCTCGTATGGGCCAATAGGCCATCCGCAGTTACCTCTATTCTCATGTTGCTAAGTGCTTCATCCCCCATTTATCCCTTATGTATTCCCAATGTTTTTACCTTTATTGTCTTATCACCTGACCCAGTGCGGGTAAAATCAACCAGTTCTGTAAATTCTTTTCACTTGAGAATGAACCGTGGAGGTTCAAAACATTGTGCAGAATTATATAAATAAGTAATACATTCTATAGTAATTCACTTTTTTCTTCACCTTGAAATTACAAAAATGAGTTTTGGAGAACTCCTCTTTCAGCTAAGCCCTGATGCTAAGAAAATAGAGGGATAGAAGCCCTAAATCAGAAGATAGTAAATACAGAATATGCGGTCATATTCAATGAGACATGTTTAAAAGAAAACCTGCTGCTAGTATACACCAATATATATATATATTAGTATATTTTGGTAGCAGTCTTTCTTGTAGACATATATTATTATATATGACCGAAAAAGTAAGATTAATAATTCTAACACGAATTTTCTCAATATTTCTTATGTTTCTTTTCACTGTCGATGGTAATTGAAAAATCAATTCAGAATTGATTTTCAATTACCATCGACAGTTAAAAAACAAGAAATAGAGAAAATTTGTGTTAGAATTATTAATCTTATTTTTTTGGTCATATTTAATAATATATGTCTACAATAAATATTATTATTATATATATATATATATATATATATATATATATATATATATATATATATATATATATATATATATATGTATGTATGTATGTATGTATGTATGTATGTATGTATGTATGCATGTATGTATGTATGTATGCATGCATATATGTATGTAATGTTGAATATGACTGAAAGGGTAAAATTAATGATTCTAACACAAATCTTTTCAATATTTCTTATGTTTTTTCACTGTCGAAGGAAGTTGAAAAAATGAACTGTCCAAAGTTCATTTTCAAACTATATTTATGGTCTGATGCCTAAGGGAAGCATTTCACAAGGCACTCCTTACATTTTCAAAGACATTTTCCAGACTCTGCCAAAGCTGAGTATACTGCAGGTACTGAGGCTCTGCCAATACTGCAGGTTTACTGATGACATATTTAAGCATGTAATTACCTAAGTGTAATTACCTAAGTGTAGTTACTGGATGACAGCTATGCTCGTGGTGTCCCATCTTCCCAGCACTGTCATACAACGCTTTGAAACTACTGACGGTCTTGGCCTCCACCACCTTCTCACTTAGCTTGTTCCAACCGTCTACCACTTTGTTTGCTAAAGTGAATTTTCTTATATTTCTTCAGCATCTGTGTTTAGCTAGTTTAAATCTATGACCTCTTGTTTTTAAAGTTCCCGGTCTCAGGAATTCTTCCCTATCAATTTTATCGATTCCTGTTACTATTTTGAACATAGTGATCATATCGCCTCTTTTTCTTCTATCTTCTAGTTTTTGCATATTTGATGCCTCTAACCTCTCCTCGTAGCTCTTGTCCTTCAGTTCTAGGAGCCACTTAGTGGCATGTTATTGCACCTTTTCCAGTTTGTTGATGTGCTTCTTAAGATATGGGCACCATACAACCACTGCATATTCCAGCTTTGGTCTAATAAAAGTCGTGAACAATTTCTTTAGTATTTCTCCATCCATGTATTTAAAAGCAATTCTAAGGTTAGAAAGTGTAGCATAGGCTCCTCGCACAATGTTCTTAATGTGGTCCTCAGTTGACAGTTTTCTATCTAGAACCACCCCTAGATCTCTTTCTTTATCAGAATTCTTTAAAAATTTCTCACATAATATATAGGTTGTGTGGGGGTCTATGTTCTCCTATTCCACATTCCATAACATGGCATTTATTAACATTAAATTCCATTTGCCAAGTGGTGCTCCATATACTTATTTTGTCCAGGTCTTCTTGAAGGGCATGACAATCATCTAAATTTCTTATCCTTCCTATTATCTTAGCATCATCAGCAAACATGTTCATATAATTCTGTATACCAACTGGTAGATCATTTATGTACACAATAAACATCACTGGTGCAAGAACTGAACCCTGTGGTACTCCACTTGTGACATTTCTCCATTCCGATACATTGCCTCTGATTACTGCCCTCATTTTTCTATCAGTCAAAATTTTTCATCCATGATAGAAGCTTACCTGTCACCCCTCCAATATTTTCCAGTTTCCAGAACAACCTCTTATGTGGAACTCTGTCGAAAGCCTTTTTTAGGTCCAGATAGATGCAGTCAACCCAACCATCTCTTTCCTGTAATATCTCTGTGGCTCGATCATAGAAACTGAGTAAATTCGATACACAGGATCTTCCAGATCGAAAACCATACTGTCTGTCTGATATTATATCATTTCTCTCTAGGTGTTCTACCCATTTAGTTTTGATTAGTTTTTCCAATACTTTCACTATTACACTTGTCAATGATACAGGTCTATAATTGAGGGGGTCTTCCCTGCTGCCACTTTTGTAGATTGGAACTATGTTAGCCTGTTTCCACATGTCTGCTACGATTCCTGTACACAGGGATGCCTGAAAGATCAGGTGAAGTGGAATGCTGAGCTCAGATGCACATTCTCTCAGAACCCATGATGAAACGCCATCTGGGCCAGCTGTTTTGTTCTTACCGAGCTCCTTGAGCATTTTTTCCACTTCGTCTCTAGTCACCTCTATGTGCTCTATGTTGTTCTCTGGAATTCTTATTGTATCTGGTTCCCTAAAGATTTCATTTTGTACAAACACACTTTGGAACTTTTCGTTTAGTGTTTCACACATTTCCTTTTCATCTTCCGTGAATCTATTTCGCATTTTCAACCTCTGAATATTATCCTTTACCTGCAATTTGTTGTTTATGAATTTATAGAATAGACCTGATTCTGTTTTACATTTGTCTGCAATCCCTTTTTCAAAGTTTCTTTCTGCCTCTCTCCTCACTGCCGTGTAGTTGTTTCTCGCATCTTTGTATCGCTGGTATGTTTGGGGGTTCGGCCTCTTCCTGTATTGATTCCATTTTTGTGTCTTTTGGTCTCTAGCCCTCTCGCAATTTCTATTGAACCAATCCTGTTTCCTAGTTCTGCATCTCTGTTTTGGTATAAATTTTTTTGTGCTTTTATCATATATTTCACAAAACTTGACATACATCTCATTCACTTCCTTGCCTAGCATCAAGTCTGTCCAATTATACTCACTAAAAAAATTTCTAAGGTCACCATAATGTCCTCTCCTGAAGTCTGGTTTTTCAACTGCTTCAACCTCCTTATTTTCTTCCAGCTTATAACGCATTGCATACTTTATTCCCAAAAAGACATGGTCACTTTTACCCAAGGGAGGAAGGTACTGAATGTCAAATATCTCTTCCTCCTTCCT